AGGGACCTTGGGTATAAAACAACATGAAGCAGTTAATTTCTATGAGGCTGGCACTGAGTCTTCATTTTATCCACAGCTGGGCAAGTCCGTGGTGGCCAAAGTGAAAATTCCAGAAGGCACTGTTCTAACATTGGACATGCTCACGGTAAAGGTGGGTGAGCCCAAAGGCTACCCTCCTGAAGACATCTTTAGTCTGGTGGGCAAGAAAGTCCTGGTCACTGTTGAAGAAGACGATACCATCATGGAAGAATGGGTAGAAAATCATGGCAAAAAAATCAAGTCTTAAAATAAAGTGCCATTCTCTGAACTGCCTTGCTGGTACTGTCGGGTGAGGTGGGATAGGAGCGGTGGTCCCTCGAAACCTGGCTTCCATCTGCTGCTCCTCCTGACATACACACTTTGGGGCCAGGCACTGGCAAGCCCATAGGAGGGGTACAAAGAGCAAACATGCTAGTCTCTGCTTCAGGCTGGCTGGCCCAGAAGGGTGGGCGATTTGCTCAAAAGCAAATCACTGTTGTCCATTTGCTGTGTGGATACTGGGGGGAAGGGAGGAGATTGAAATCTGGCTGTACAAGGTCCTCTTCTTTAAGCCTTCATTCATCCTGCCCATAAAGCCAATCCACATGACCTGAAATGTTCCTTCCCTCCAGACCTGTCTTCTCCACTGCCCTTATTCCCTCCCTGCCCTGGGACTCTGTACCCAGTGAGCTGCATGGCAGTTACTGGGCATCAAGAGAAGGGATTGGTCAGGCATCTGGCGGGCTGAGAGCTGCTGAGAGTCTGCATATCTCTATGAGCAAAGAGAGGAAAGGACATTCATTCCTCCTCTCCACAATGGGGAGATCCTGCCATGTGCCAGGGCCTGCTTTAGGTACAAGGAAACAGCGGTGAACAGCCCACGTTTCTTCACGGAACTTTCACCCAGGTGGGGAGACAGGCACAGCAGACCATAAACACCGTAAGTGAATCCCAGGAAGTCAGAAGGGGATATGTGCAATGGGGGGAGTAAAAGGGCTGCGTAAGGGAGACGGGGAGTGTGGGGATGGTGCATTTGTAGGGGGACATTTATATATGGTGGTAATGCTGAAATCAGCCCTTCCCTACTCATAATGAAATTACGAACCCAGTGAACGAGAAAGATCCTCTGTTTTACGTTGTTGTACAGCAGCATGAACCTTTCAGAGTCCATGTCAGACTCCCCTTTGTTCTTTTGAACCAATACTGACAAGAATGATTCTTTTCAAATGTATTTCCAGATTCCTAATCTTTGTGCATATTTACCTGAGCTTGTCACTCTCGTGCCTTGTTTGGAAGTGTACACTTGAGTCTCTTTTCAAATGTATATAATTAGCCTCTTGAAGTTTCTTGTGAGTATAGAGCCTCCCTCCCTGTGGATCCCAAAGCAGGTTCTGCAGAGGCCCTGATTTTTTTTTTTTAAGATTTATTTCAGACAGAACAGGAGTGGGAAAGGCAGAGAGAGAAAATCTCAAGCACACACCATGCTGAGCACAGAGCCCAACGCAGGGCTCGATCCCACGACCAAGAGATCACGACCTGAGCTGAAGTCAAGAGTCAGACACTTATCGGACTGCACCATTCAGTCACCCCGAGGCACTGATATTTGTAAGTGTGGTTGGGGTGGGGAGGGAGTCCTGGGATGTACTCATGTGTAAAAGAGAATGTGTCAAATTGATGTGCTAAGAACTGAAGTATGATGGAAAATTACCGCCTGTGTATGCCACAGGTGGGTAAACTGAGCACACCCACAGCCAGTAGCAGCGGGCCATCTTGTGCTGCCCTTGGCTGACCTGAGGGTGGAAGGATTGATATCCTGGCATACCTTTAATCCATTCTGGTTGGGAAGCTCAGGTCCAGAAGATGTCCTTGACCACCTGCTGGATGGGAGATGCCCAGACCAGTGCCGCTGGAGAGTTCTTGGCCTGTTGGGTGCAGGCACCTCTACAAACGGTACCCTTCATGTGTGAATTGCTGAGAGGTTTTCTAAAGGTTATGGGAGCCATGGATGGGAAACCTGGGAGTAGGAATGGGAGAGGAGGCATGGCAAGGGAAGGCCTTCTGGTGGTACTTTAGTTCAGCCATGTAGGTTAGGAAGTGACAGGAGGAGGAATCTTGGGATTTGAGGCACAGACTTGGGAGGTGCCAGAGTGTCCAAGGACATGCAGGTGATGGTTTGGCAGGGACTGGCTCTATGCGGATGAAGGAATTAGAAGGTGGTCAGAAAGGAAGCAAGGAGTGGTGCCCGGATGGCATAGTTGGTTAAGCATCCAACTCTTGGTTTCAGCTCAGGTCATGATCTTGGGGTCATGAGATTGAGCCCCACATCAGGCTTTGCACTGGAGTGTGGAGTCTGCCTGAGATCCTTTCTCCCTTTCCCTTTGTCTACTGCCCCTGCTTCTCCCCCAGGCTTCTGCTCTCTCTTTAAAATAAATAAATCTTAATAAAAAAAAAAGAGGGAGCAATGGCCTTAAAGCCTGTGGAGTTTGGACTTTGTTCTCTAGGTGGTGGAGAACCAAGGAAGGCTTCTGGGGATATGCTGGACTGAGATTTGGCCCCACACGCACGTGCTGACCCCTAACCTCGTCTCACATGCAGCTTGGCTCCTTCTTATAGTGCAGACTCCTGCCTGCCAGGACCAGGCTGTGCAGGTCCACCTGTGTGTGTGTGTGTCCTCTGCTAGGCTGACATCACTTTCCCCTGCTCCCTGACAAAGGAGAATCGCAGAAACAGAAGAGATGCAAGAGGTAAGGGAGGGTCCCTGAATCTCTAAGAATCAGTAAGTGACCACAGATGGCTTCCATGTTGCTAAAGGATGATCACAGAGATGCCAACAACTATGTAATATTGTCTTGGATTGGAGCAGCTAGGAGGGAGGGCTTGTCTGCATGTAGGCAAGCACTTAGTGATGCTCTGTAGTGAACTGCCCATCACTGGCACTGTTGAACCTGGGACCAGCTGGCTACCACAAGAAAATTGTGGAGGGGATGCCAGGTGAGTGAGGTCCTGTCTGGGCCTAGAAGCGACGTGAACTCCCAGTGAAGAACACAGTTAAAAGGTTACAGTGTTCATATTTATTAAATCATAGACTATAAAATTAATGTCATTTAAAAATATATCTGCAAGCAGTTTGCTGTATTAAGAAATTTCCGTAAGTATAAATCTGAAGGAGAATTAGGTCAGTGATCTAGTCATGGACCCCAAGGGAAACTTTGGTCCTGTATGGAGAATATTCAAGGAGGTTCCTGCTACCGCAGGATGGCCGCCGGGGAGGCTTGTGGGTCCTGGCATGGTACAGTACTGGATGGTTTTTAAAGCAAGTTCATAGCCATTGGCCAATACTAGAAGGCAGGGTCACTGCCCCCATTTTACAGATGGTTCTCTGAGAAGTGAAGTGCTAGCCCAAGGTCACATGACTGTGCACTGAAACTGCCGCTTTCTGGCAGCACAGGTCTTGATACAAAGTCATTACTGGATCAAAGCCAGTTTTTGTCCTGTATAGTCCAGCTCTGTCTCGGACACATGCATTCCAAACTCAAGTTCCTCTCTGGGTACAGCACCTCATCTCAGCCCGAGGAACGTTATCCAGAGGCAGACTCAGGAGGCTAGAGCAAAGCATCACAGGCAAAACAGGAGTGAGCAGGCTCCTGCCAGGGACCAGCTGTGTTTGCCCGAGCAGTCCGGTCTGCGGAACGTGAGCACGACCCCAGCTCCACCACCAGCTGTGTGACCTTGAGCAAGACACTCATTCTGGATCTCTGTTTTGCCCTGCATAGAATTGGGATAACTTCGTACCTCCTAGGAATAATGTCAGGATCAAATGAGTTAATAGTTGTAAAGCATTAGAACCGTGCCTGACAAAACAGCAGGTGCTGTTACTACCTGGGCCCGCCCCCCATGGGTCTGGAAGTAGGTCTGTGTGCGTAGGGATGAACAAGCTTGTAGGGTTAGGAGCGTCCTTCATCTTCTGTCGGGAATGCCCTGTCAGAATTCAGCTCTGGGTCCTCTCCAGTAGAATTAATTCCCCTTTTTTCAGCGTTCCCAGAGCAGGGTGCATAGACGCCGTGCTCTCTCTCCAGCTAAAGTTTTAAGTGATTTGGTTACAACCAAAGGCACCTTAGGGTTCCTTCTGCCTTGATTTCCACTTGTATTACATTGCCCTGTACGAAAGTGGCATTTTTAGAAAATTGTTGGAAATTGGCGTTTTTTGTGGTTCAAACTAACGAATGCGAGAGCACGAGTGGGTTTCAGCTTTGCATCTTCCTCACCCTGCCACCGCCCTCTGGCTGGGCACCTAAGATACTTTAACACAGTATGATTCCAAAACCATCTGGGGAGTTTGACAAATGATGCTACATCTTCAGAACCGAGGCACAGACCCAAAAAAGAGGCCTTCCCCTTCCTGCTAGAGGAGCTGGCCCTGGAGGTCCTCCTGGTTTGGCCTTCTCTATTTCTGTGCCTTCTTAATGGAAAATGGGGTTCTCTGGGTTTTCCTGGCAACGCCTGCAACTGCAGGCTTGGAGGAGCATGGGGATGTCTGGGCCTGTCCAGACCTTACTCTTAGCTCCTCCTCTTTTAGTTCCAAGGCAGTTGGGGAAACGGCCTGTGGTTGCTAAGCAACGGTTGCCTGCTGATTCTTCCCAACATCCCTTGAGGAATGAATAAGCAGTAAAATCTCCCACATTGAAAGCTGGGCCTGAAGAGCTGGGACAGGGGGCAACACTTGCCTTGGGGCTGGAGGGCTCTGAGGAACTTTCTTTTAGGACCTTAGTCTCTCCCAAATGTACAGTGAGGTTAGGCTGGGTGATTCATGAGGACTTCTCAGCTCAGCTGTTCTTTGCTTCAGTGGTGGCCGGCTGCTGGTCATTGTCTGGGAGGGAAAGGGACACCCTGAACTTTTCAGGTTGGTGAGGGTATGGGACATAGCTGCCCTGGGAGAGCTTCCCACCTAGTGGGAAAGCAGGGTCCCGAATTTGTGACTCTCAGGGTAAGAGGTTCTTGTGGTTTGGGGAGACTTCCTGGGGCAGTTAAGCCAGGGGAAGGCTCAGACAGGCAAAGGGCAAAGGTGCCAGAGGGTCTCTGAAAAGAGCGGTAGAAGCTAGATGAGCATGGGGAGTTTGAGGGCAGACTAGAAAAGCCTTGAATGCTAAGGTAAAGTGCCTGCTTTTTCTCTCTCCGGTCCTTGGGAACCTTCTGGTAGTTCTAGGAGGTTAAATGAAGTTTTAGGCCTGGCACTCTCGCTGTACAGTGGAGGATGAGAATGGGAGGGGGTTCCAGCCCTGAGGTGTGAAGTGCGGCTACTCTGAAGAGAAGTGACACGGACAGCTGAAGCAGAGTGGAGAGGAAGAGGCAGATCAAAAGGACTTTAGGGAGAAGGGGCTGGATGGCTCTCATTCATTCCCACATTTATTGTGCGCCTACCAAGTGCCAGGCATTGCTGACTACTCTATGAGGGAGAGGCCAGAGGCAGAGGACGATGTCTTCTGACAGGGTCGGGATGCTCAGGACTCACATGGGGTCAGCACCTGGACTAAAAGTGGTGTCATGTAAGTGCTCTGGTGGTGGTGGAGAGACCCGTTGAGAGCGCCCCGGCAGAAGACCGGCCTTTAGGGCCTGTTTGAAAACTCGCCTGGGAAAGGAGCCTTTTCAAAGCACAGGGCATGACGGGTGGGGGAGAAGACGGGGATGCTTGGGCAGCTGGCAGTAGACCAGCCACATCAGCTCCAGTGAGACCAGAGCAGTGGAAGGCATAGGACGGTCACTCCTGCTGTGGCCCCTAGGGCAGCCGGGAGATGCTTATGGGCCCTTCCCAGAGCCGCAGCGCCGGGTAAAGTGGCTCCTGGAAAGCGGCCCGGAAGGTGTGCAGGTGGCTCATGCCGCCTGACACATCGTAGAAGGAGAGGATGCCGGCCTCATAATCCAGGAAGACGCCCAGCCGGTCGGGGTCGTCGCGGGGCCGCAGGCGGCTGCGCTGGCCGTCGTGGAAGGCCCAGTACTCGAGGTCGTAACGCTTGAGGCACCAGGACTGACGGTTGCAGCCTAGGCGCGCGGAGGCCGAGGCCCCGCAGCGCCGCAGGGAGGCGTAGGCCACGCCCACCCACCAGCCGACGCCCGCCTCCTGCACGTCCACTTCCCAGTAGTGGCGGCCGGCGGCGTAGCAGTCGCGACCCAGCACCTGCCACAGTTTATCAAAGCGCAGCGCGGGCGTGGGTCCCAGGCGGCCCACGAGGCCGCAGCGCACGGTCAGGCGGTCGGCAGAGAGGCGCAGGCGCGCGTGCATCGTGTCCGGCTCCAGAGTGGGCGTGCGTGCATCTGCGGAGGGCGGGGACATGGGGGGGCCACACCTGGTGGGTGGGGCTAGCCCCCCCACGCCCCCGCTGGTCCTGACAGCTTCCCCATAGAAATTGAGATGCCAGGAATTGCCAGCAGATAAATGAAAAGCCACCCTTTTAACCCTAATTGCATCCAAGGCATTAGCTGGGGGACACGGGAAGGAGTGAAAATTTCACTGGATTTGTGCCATGGAATTTGTTGCCAATTTCTAAAAATTCAATTTAAAAAATCCTGTCCTTATTGACGCTTGGATGTATATCCTTCCAGTTTTTATCTTGCCACTTCTAGTTTTTCTTATTGGTATCATGCCATACACACTTTTGTGTAATCTGGTTTTTCAACTTTATTGATTGTATTTGTGATCATTTTACCCTATCAAATAACATTTTTTATCAGAGTGTTTTAATGGTGACCCTAAGATTTTGCTGTGTTAAGTGTTTTATACTTTAACCTATCCCTCCCCCTTCTCAATATTTAGGCTTTATTTTTTTATATTTTATTCATCTATTTTTCAGAGCGAGCACAAACAGGAGAAGTAGGCTCCCAGCTGAGCAGAGAGCCCTAGGTGGGGCTCCAGCCCAGGACCTGACCAGAGCCAAAGGCAGCCACTTAATCAACTGAGCCACCCAGGTATCCAATATTTAGGCTTTAAAAAAGCTCCTGAAAACACTAATATAATTACATCTTTATGCATCTGATTATTGCTTGAGGATACATTCTTAAAAGAGGAACTACTGGGTTAAGATGGATAATTTTGCTTTTAAGGCCTTTGGTAAATACTGCCAACTTGTATCCCAGAAATGTGGTGCTGACTTAACTCCCAATAATCGTTCTCACTGCATTGTACCACATCTGTAGACATGGAAAACAAAGTCTAGATGGTAGGGTACGTGGATATTCTGCTTTAGTAGATACTGTCGAAGTGTTTGGAGTGCAAGACCTGTAGCAAGGTTTTGCACATCTGAAGATTTTATTCCTGATTTTTTTTTTAGATGTCACTGAAAATAATGTTTTTAAAATTTCATTTTCTAATTGTTTATTGCCAATATACAGAAACAGGATTGAGCTTTGTATAATGATATATACAACAGTTCTAAGTTATCTTTTACTTAGATTTCCTGTAATCATGTCATCTATGAATATTCATAATATTGTATGATATCACATGACATTATATGACATCATCATGATATCCCCCCCTTTTTCCAATCCTTATAGCTTTCACTTCTATAGGATCTCTGGAACAGTGCTGCACGAAGCGACTATGGTAAGCATCCTTTCCTCCATCCCCTGGGTAAATACCCAACAGAAATGCCTGCATATGTGCATCAAACAGACATGCACATGAATGTTCGGAGCACCATTCACTACAGGCCAAACTGGAAACAATCCAAAATGTCCTTTCATAGTTTGAGTGTGCTGTGTTCATACAATGGAATACTACTTACAGCAGTGAGAACAAGTTACTTCTATGCACAATAATATGGATAAATCTCCTAAATATTATGTTGCGTGACAGAGGCAAGACACCAAAAAGTACCATCTGAATGATCTAGTCCTATAAAGGCCAAAGACAGGCAAAACTAATCTACAGTGTCAGAAATCGGGAGAGTAGTTACCCTTGGTGGGTAATGAAGAGGAGGCTGCATGAGCAAGGCTTCTGGGGAGCTGGAAGTTTTCATTTCTTGGTCTGAAGGAGGATATATACCATGTTTACTTTTAAAAAATGATTGGGGTGCCTGGGTGGCTCAGTTGGTTAAGCACCCAACTCTTGGTTTTGGCTCAGGTCATGATCTCAGGGTTGTGAGATTGAGCCCCGCATCGGGCTCCACGCTTGGCGCAGAGGCTGCTGGAGAGTCTCTCACTCTTCCTCTCCTTTCCCCTCTGCTCCTCCCCTTCTGTCCCCCTCTAAAAATAAAATCTTAAAAAAAAAATTGAGCAGCACCCCTTTGATTTCTGTACTTTTATGTATTTTATATTTCAAAGTTTACTTTAAAAAAATGAAATGAAATGAAAACAGGTTACAAAACAGTATGTATAGTATGATACCATATTTGTAAAAAATATATAAAATATATTCTTATATGTATATATAGATCAACTAAGGAAAGCTAACAGGGCAAACAATAATAGTAGTTATCTATGGGCAAGTGACTTTAAAAAATTTGGGTTTTATTCCCTAGTTTTTCTGCAATGAATATGTATTATTTCTGTATTTAAGATTTATTATTATTATTACTTTCAGGTAACCTCTACACTAAATGCAAGGCTCAAACTCACGACCCCCAGATCAAGAGTCGCACGCTCTACCAACTGAGCCAGCCAGGTGCCCCTTATTCCTGTTATTTAAAAACTAGTAATAAAGGTTGAAAAAACCCAAGTTGGGTCTGTTAGTAAAAAAGGGGGTGCCTCCATTTCTATGACCCCCCCCCAATCTGCCTGGCCCTCTCCACCCTCCCTTTGCTCCCCAATCCCAGGGCTTACATTTTAAGAAGAGCGATCGCTCCGGTGAGGGGCTTGTTTTCAACAAGGAAGCTAGTTTAGTGCTCGAGGAGCCCGAGAGCTGGCAGTTCGTGTCTGTAACAGATTGTGAGAAATAAGTGCCTGGCCCTCATGCAGGCAGAGCAAATTACAGAATGTACTAAAAATATTACAGAACTGGAAATTCGGATCATCTCTTCCCCAGAAGCGCATGCATATTTAAGCAGTAAATGCAAATTCAGGAATTGGCGACAGGAATACCCTAGGACAATACTCGGGTCTAAGAAGAAGCATACTTCTGAGGGTGGGAAGTGGATTCAGGCCAGTGTGACTGTCCCCTGAACCTTGGGATGGGACAGCGGGCTCAAGGAGGGCCATGCGAATCAACGTTGTATTCAACAGCCAAGCATGGGGGCAACCGCCTGGCAGACATGCCAGTTCCGGGATAAAATGGAAAGTGAGAAATTAGGCCATCAGAGAAGGCCATGTCCAGGTCTCATTCCAGTGCGAGGGAGTTCAAGGGAAACCCAAGCCATGGTTCCTGTCTTCCACAGCTCCATCAGGTAAGAGGTGAGAGGTAGGCTCACATGAGCCACCCGCCAAGGCACAGAGAAGAGAGGAATCCGGGGAGACATCATGGAGGAAGCACCTCAGCGAGCCCTTAAAGGACAGGGAAGATTCGGACATCCAGAGAAAAGGACGGGAGGCTTTCCCAGCCAGAGGGTACGAGCAGGAGCCCAGGTATTAAGGACAAGTACCGGCACTGGCACAGGAACTGGGAAGCCATGGCAGGCGTCTGAGTGAAGGCAGACACGCGCAGAACCTCCAAAGCTCTGTGGTGGGGAGTGGATGGGGCAGGGTGAGTGGAGGCAGAGGCCCTGCTTGGGGGCTTGAAGTGGGCCAGCAGGGATGCCAGAGCTCCTGGGGGAGGAACTATGGCAGCCACAGTAGCAGTAGCCAGGGCCTAACTTTACTAGGAGGCTACTGGAGTCAAGCAGCAGCGGACCGCAGGGAAGACGTATGTCCCCTTCTCAGAGATACCGGCTCCGCATCCCCAGGAAAAAGCTCCTGTATTCTCCTCACCCTGCTGTATTTTTCATCAGAGCTCTTACTGCTGACTTGTTCAGTTACTACTGTCTGTCTTGCTTCCAGAACCCTGAGCACCACAAAGGCAAGACCTTTGTTTTTGTACCCTGCCATGTGTAACAGAGAATTAGGGCTCAGTAGATGTTCTGGAGGAATCCTAAGAGTGGAGATAAATGAATGAAGAAAGGTATTTCTGAGCACCTACTTTGTGCTTTGCCCTGCAGGGACCTCGGAGCAGGACTCAGAGTGCTTCTTGCCCTTTGGGCATTTATGACAGGCAGGGGAGGTGAGTACAGGGTGTCCAGCTCAGGGACAGCCCCAGGCCGGAAACCGGCAGCGCAAGGAGTAGGGAGAGGCAGCGGGACAGCTGGCCAGCATAGCCAGCCCAGGGTGATGGGGCAAGGCTTCCCGGGTGAGCCCAGCTGGGCTGGCCCCGCAGGGATGGCTGGGACTTGGCCAGACGGCCCAGCCCGGGGGGGCAGATGGCTATTCTAGCTGGGAGCCCAAAGCAGGTGAAGGTAAGATGCAGCAGAATCCTGGGAGTGACTTGGGGGCAGAAGCGGAGCAGGATGGCTGGGAAGGCAGGACGCGGTCTCCGAAGAGGAAGGAGGTGAAGTCTGAAGGATGGGTAGGGCCTAGGCCCAGGCGTCCTCCACTGCCCAGCCACTGGCCTTTGGGTGGAAGAGATGGGATTTAGGTCTTCACATTCGTCTCTGGGTTAAAGGGTAGCAGGGGAGCTAAGGACACAAGGTTGGTCACGCAGCAACTTACTCTCTTTAAGGCGAGTGTCCAGTGGCGTCTGTAACAAGCTCTGCATGGCGTCCACAAAGCCCTGGAAGAAGCTCTTGATGGGCTCGAAGGAGAGGGGCGTGGGGTAGCACACTTCTCCCAGGCTTGTCTGCCGCTGCATCTCCTGCTCGGTGGCCTGGTACTCCTGCGGGGGTGTGCAGGGCGTCAGGGGGCTGCCATCCCAGCTTCCACCGCTGCGCCCTCGGACAAACCCAGCCCGGAAGGGGTGGCCGCCCCCGCCCCAGCATCTGGGAGCAGCCCAGGCTGTGGCCCCCACTCCCACCCCAGGACCAGAGTTGACTTCTCCCTCCCTTCCAAGTTCCTGGAGCTCTACTCTGTGCATGGCCTTAGGGGCGGAGGAAGGAAGGAGACTGGCTGGCTGCACCTGCCGCCAAGTTGCTCACCACCTTGCAGGGTGCCCTGAAGCTTTCCAGACATTGACATCCAGGGGGACCAAAGGAATGATGGGCCAGTGTTCCTGGGGAAAGAGTCCCTTGGGCATGTCCAAAGGAGGGAGCAGGAAACCATGATCCGGGAGGGAAACCAAAGACCCTGGAAGTTCAGCTGGAATGACGACGGAGGGGGCCGTGGGAACCTGTCCTGTTTTCTGACTGGTCCCCCACTGTTACCTTCCCCACCAAACAATGATGAACTCCAGGCCTCACCCTTTAAATAGCCTTCCTGGGTTAAGTGTGGCTTCGCAAGGTAGAAGCTCCCTGGACCATCCTGGTATCTCCAGCTCTAGTATCTAACAACATAGTAGTTATTAGTTACTACTAGTAACTACTAGTTACTACTAGTAACTAGTTACTAGTTACTGGTAGTAGTTACTACTAGTAACTAACACGTAGTAGGTACTCCATAAATATTTATGATAGAATAAGGAAATCAAGCACACCTGCTTCTCACCTTTGCCAACTTGGGGAACAGCTCCCTAGCCATCTGTATTTCAAGCCATAGCTGGGCATCATCTTGGATTCCCCTTACTTCCACTCACCAGTCCTGTCACATGTCTCAGACCTGCCTGTCCCCTCCTCCTGATGCTTGTCCACTGGTCTTGGCCTCCAGCGTCCACCCTCCACCCTGTCACCAGAGTGACTTTTCAGAAGCATTAAACTGAGCAGGTCACTCCCCAATTCAAAATGCTCCCCTGGCTCCAAAATCTTTACAGCACAATTTAAACCCATGGCCAGGTACATACAGCCCTCTGCTAACTAGGCCTGGTTTCCAGACCAGTGGCAACTCCCCAATGTCACCCCCTCCTTCGTACCCCTGCCCTGCCTCCAGCCAGGCTAAACCCTAGCGGGTCTCCTGCCTGCCGGGCCCTCATGTGCACATGATTCCTTTCTGCCTGGGATGTCCTCTGTCCCTCTGTATGTCCCTGGTGAGCCCCTCATGCTCCCATACCCAGCTCCACGGTCACCTCCCCTTAGAAGCCTTCCCTGAGCCCCTATGCAGAACTGGACACTTCTTAGACATACTTCTGCCAGCTCGCTGGGGCTGCACTGTAAATAGCGATTTCTGAGCATGCCTCCCCACCCTCAAGCCCCTAATGTCAAGCAGGGGCCTGGCGTGAACAGGTTACTCAGTATAGTATGGATCCGTATATATACAAGAGTGAGCAAGCAGAAGGGAGGAATGGTAAATGATGAAAATCAGTAGTTCTAGCACCAGAGAATAAAGAAAAAAGATGATCAAGCCATGAAACTCTATGATGCAAGAAAAATATTCTTTTCCGTGGAAGCATCCCTTTGTATCAGATAGCCCTCCCAAGTACCATCACTTTTAAAGAAACAAATGTACCCCTCTGTGCAACTTGCCCCTCTTTATAATATCCAGGGTGCCTAGGAAAGCGACTCACCTAGAATTATTTTTTGTTAGACTGAGTTGACCAAGGCCATGTACACGCACAAGCCTGGAAATATTTGTTGGGGACTGGCTTAACTGGTTTGCTACTGACGGATTTGTTTGTCAGCCTTATTTTCCAGCCAAAGCCTAATGTGTGATTAGACTCAGTGACACCTTTATCTCGTCCCACAAATCTGTAAAGCATCTTCCAAAGATTATCTAACAGGGCAGGCGTTTCCTCTACAGTGAGAAAACTTAAGCGAAGAAAACATCAGGGTAGGGAAGTAAGCTGGACGCCAGAGCGGGCGGAGGAACAGAGCCTATGCTGAAGGGCCACGTGAGCCAGAAAGCAGTCCCAGAGCATGGGGCTGCACAGCGGTACTGACGCCGGAGGGGAGTTTCTCCCGTGGTTCCTTGGGAACAGGAGCACCACGCTTAACAACATATGTTCACTAACAGCAACAAATCACGGGGCCTATTTCCTAGACTCTCCCTCCGTGTAAGGTGATAGCCTCCAGCAGATCCCAGTGGCCAAGGAGTACCATCCTTCTCTGCCCTTTGAGCAAACTGAGTCACCTCTTGGGGCCTGCTCAGTAGACGGAAGGCCACCTGCCTTTCCAGGAGGGGGTCTCGAGTGAGACTTAGCAGGCAGAGGGCCAGGTGGCTGTGCTCTGGACTCAGGCCGACCTGGCTTCTGATCACAGCTCTGCTGCCTCTCAGCTGGGTGACCTTGGACGAGAGTCACTTCACCCTCCCTGGGCCTCAACTGCTCATTCATAAAATGGGGTGAGAATAGCCACTTTGCTGCGTTTTAGGAAGTACCAGAGCTAAGATACAGAAAGTGCTTGGAACACAGAGGGCCCCGGCCCCCCAAAACGGTGGCTGTAAATATGATGTCATTAGCCCAAGATGGATCTACCCTTCCCAACAATGCCTATTTCCTTACCACTTGTGTGGGGGCAAGAAAGCCTGCAGGCTGGCCAAGCAATTTGTGTATTCACTCTTCGTAAACCCTGTGTTCGATGCCCCGGTAACCAAGGTGAAGTGCAGGGGAGGAGGGGGCAGGGGCCCAGCATTACCTGCAGCAGCTGTATGGGGTCGGGCTCCTGGCTTATCCTCCAGACCCTGGTGGAGAGGCTGTGCATGCCATCTATTTGCTCTCTGCAAGATTGGATATGCTCCCCATACGCCTGGAGGGTGAGCTGCGTGTTTTTATCGATGAATTTCTTGGCCAGCGCTTCCTCTTCGTCAAGTAGCAGTCTCAGTTCAGTGAATTTTCCCGTCAGCCAGGTTTTACTTGACTCTGCATGAGCCTGAAAAGAAATCAGTTGCAAATGGTATCACTGCCAACCAGGAAATCTGGAATAATCAACAAAAAACAATTATAACCTCTAAAAGGTGAGTTCAGCAATGCCCCTGGGCAAGCGTAAGACCAGCTCATAAAAACTCCAGCTTTCCCAAGTACCACCACCTATAACCAACTGGAAAATGCATGCAGAAATACTGGTAGTGGGGAAAATAGCAAGATACCAAAAAATAAACTAACAAAAACTGTAATGAACTACATAAAGCATAAAATTGTACTAAAAGACATTAAAAAAAAAAAAAGACCTCTGAATGTGTGGAAGAAAAGACCACATTCCTGGCTAGAAAGATTCATTATAGTCTACAAATTCATTGCAATCCCAGCCTTAACATGTGGATTAGACAAATGGCAAATTATGGTGGGAAAGAATAAGCCCAAGAAAAGCCACAAATTGCTTTAAAAGGATCAATGAAGGATGACCTGCCTTATTAAATATGCAAACAAACTGTAAACCTACAGGATTTAAAACCACGTGGCACAGACAGACAAAGATCAAGAGCACAAAAGAATTCAGAAATGAACTCTGTGTGTGTGTGTATGTGTGTGTGACAGAGAGAGAGGGAGGTAATGGTCACATTTCAAATTACAGGGAAGAAAGAGTGAACTATTCCATTAATGGTGTTGGTACAACATGCAATTAACCATATATTTGGAAAAAAATTTTATTAGATCCTCATACCATATATAAAAATAAATGCAAACAGAAGCCCACCTAGGAAGTAGTGTAGCCAAAAAATGAGACTCTGTGTCTGATCACTCTAAATTTAACTTATAAATCCAATTTAGAAGATGTAAGGAAAACGGAGAAACATAGTAACCGTCAACTTGAGATACGCGCCAACCAAATGCATTTTGAAAACTCTGTTTCACTTCTAAATCAAACAAAACATGACATTTATAACTCAGTTGAAAACGTGACCACTGGTTGGATATTGAAGGATAAAAGGGAACTGTTACGAATTTTCACAGGTGTGATGATGACAACATGGCTGGGCATGTAAAAAAAAAAATACATCATCTTGTAGAAACAACACGCTAAACTTTTACAGATAAAATGGCATGTCTGGGATTTGCTTCTAAATATATGGGTATGCTTGAGGTTTTCTACAATAAAGGTAAACAGGAAAATTCTACAGAGATTAAAGCACTATACATTAAAAAAAAAAACCTGTTACAATGAAATACAAAACAACTTTATTTCAAAAATTTGAAACCTCTGTAAGAGGAGCCTAAAACTCAGAGAGCTACAAGGTAGCCACAGCAGGTCTGATTGTATAAAAAAATGGAACTCTTAAGAGGGAAGGTTCTGTAGACAACCGTTCCAACAAGCTACATGGGTTTATATCATCCATCACATGGAGGGGAAAAAAAGATCACTCAATTTAAAATGGGCCAAATGCTTGTAAGTGCCCGTAGCTGGACGAAGGGGTACCCGGCCTCTTAGTTCAGAAAGTGGGCAGTGGGGCGCCTGGGTGGCTCAGTGGATTAAAGCCTCTGCCTTCAGCTCAGGTCATGATCTCAGGGTCCTGGGATCGAGTCCCACATCGGGCTCTCTGCTCAGCAGGGAGCCTGCTTCCTCCTCTCTCTGCTTTCCTCTCTGCCTACTTGTGATCTGTCTCTGTCAAAGAAGTAAATAAAATCTTTAAAAAAAAAAAGAAAAAAAGAAAGTGGGCAGTGTACCAGAAAATACTTTATGGCCATCAGCCTGGAGGAATTTTAACTGACTGATAATAGCAGAGCCTGGAATGGTGTGGAGCACACTTAGCCACACTGGGTCAGCATTCTTAGGGGACAAAGTGATATCAAAATTTTGACTGCAACCATCGTTTGATGCAGCAATTCCTCTTGCAAGCATTGATCTCTGAAAACGTTTTCACACGTGCACGAACATCTGTGTACCAAGATGCTCACTACAGCACTGTTGGTGATGAAGGTGGGCAAGATTTTCGATATGGGAAGTATATATATATATGTTTACTATATATACTATGTGGCGTTCATACAATGAAAGAACAGGCAGTGATTAAAAAGAAGGCAGAGTTCTTATACATGCTACACTGTGGGTGAACCGTTCGGTCATGTGGAGTGAAATAAGCCAGAGGTAAAAGGACAAATACTGGATGATTTCCTATTATGAAATAACCCACAATAGGCCAGTTCACAGGGACAGGAAGTAGATGAGAGTCTGCCAGGGCCTGGCGGGAGGGGAAGTCATTGCTTAGCAGTTACAGAGTTTATATCTGAAGTAGTGGAAAATTTTTGGAAACGGTGGCTATGAGTGTAAATGCAGTTTACAGTGGTTATAACTGTAATGTACAGTTATACAGTGGTTACAAGTGTAATACAGTGGTTATGAGTATAAATGCAAAAACAGTGGTTATAACTGTAAATTCAGTTCGTCCTACTGAATCGTACACCAAAAAATGGGTAAAATGGTTAACTTATGTTACGTACATTTTGCCACACACACAACCCAGTGGACCCAGGTGCCCGGGCATGGAAAATCCTCCAAGACACCACATGAAAAAGAGCAAGTTATAGAATAACAAATATAGGACAATCCTACTTCTGTAAAAGATAACTAAACAAAAATTATATACAGATACAGGTATGCCCACCTTCTGAACGTCTGCTTTGGTCCACTTTGCTTTTAAGAAAAACCTTTATTAGCATGGTAAGGGTTTTTGTCCAAAAAGTGAAAATCCTCTTCAGGTGTCCTCCAGTTAGAAAACGGCTATTAACCCAAGACTTTCCTAAAAGTGAAGTGGCTTAACTCAAACTTTCAAAAAGCCAGGGATGCTCTTTCCTTTGTGCCCTTTCTACCTACAGAAGGTTTCAGAGAACACTACTTTTGGATAGCGGGCGGGGCGGGGGGAACCTGTCTATGCTTCTGTATGTTTGCAAGTGCATTTTTAAATTTTTTAAAGATTTATTTATTTATTAGAACACACAAGCAGGGGGAGGGGCAGAGAGAAGCAGGCTCCCCACTGAGCAGGGAGCCTGATAGAGTATTCCATCCCAGGAGAATGACCTGAGCCAAAGAAGGATGCTTAACCGAGGCGCAACCCAGGCACCCATGCAGGTGCATTTAAATGTCTGTTAGTTCTACAAACAATCCTAGGATTTGTATGGAACCAGAAAAGACCCTGAATTGCTAAGGAAATGTTGAAAAAGAAAAACAAAACTGGGGGGATCATGTTGCTTTATTTCAAGCTTTACTACAAAGCTGTGATCACCAAGACAACATAGTACTGGCACTAAAACAGACACATAGACCAGTGGAACAGAGTACAGAGCCCAGAAATGGACCCACAACTCTATAGTCAAATAATCTTTGACAAAGCAGGAAAAAATATTCAGTGGAAAAAAGACCGTCTCTTCAATAAATGGTGCTGGCAAAATTGGACAGCTATGTGTAGAAGAATGAAACTCGACCATTCTCTTACAGCGTACACAAAGATAAACTTGAAATGGATAAAAGACCTCAACGTGGGGCAGGAATCTATCAAAATCCTAGAGGAAAACATAGGCAGTAACCTCTTCGACATCAGCCATAGCAACTTTCAAGACATGTCTCCAGGGGTGCCTGGGTGGCTCAGCAGGTTAAGCCTCTGCCTTCAGCTCAGATCATGATCTCAGGGTCCTGGGATCGAGCCCCGCATCGGGCTCTCTGCTTGGTGGGGAGCCTGCTTCCTGCTCTCTCTCTGCCTGCCTCTCTGCCTACTTGTGATCCCTCTCTCTCTGTCAAATAAATAAAATCTTAAAAAAAAAAAAGACATGTCTCCAAAGGCAAAGGAAACAAAAGTGAAAATGGGACTTCTTTTGGGACTTCATCAAGATAAAAAGCTTCTGCACAGCAAATGAAATAGTCAACAAAACAAAGAGGGAACCCATGGAATGGGAGAAGATATTCACAAATGACACTACAGACAAAGGGCTGATATCAAAGATCTATAAAGAACTACTCAAACTCAACACTCAAAAAAAGATAATCACATCAAAAAATGGGCAGAAGACATGAACAGACGCATCTCCTAAGAAAACATACAAATGGCTAATAGACACATGAAATAATGTTCATCATCACTAGCCATCAGGAAGATTCAAATCAAAAGCACATTGAGGGGCCCCTGGGTGGCTCAGTGGGTTAAGCCTCTGCCTTCAGCTCAGGTCATGATCTCAGAGTCCTGAGATCGAGCCCCACATCGGGTTCTCTGCTTGGCAGGGAGCCTGCTTCCCCCTCTCTCTTTGCCTGCCTCTCTGCCTACTTGTGATCTCTGTCAAATAAATAAATAAAATCTTAAAAAAAAACCCACATTGAGATACCACCTTACACCAGTTAGAACAGCCAAAATTAACAGGATGGGAAACAAGTGTTGGAGAGGATGTGGAGAAAGGGGAACCCTCTTGCACTGTTGGTGAGAATGCAAGTTGGTGCAGCCACTTTGGAAAACAGTTTGGAGATTCCTTAAGAAATTAAAAATAGAGCTTCCCTATGACCCTGCAATTGCACTACTGAGTATTTACCCCAAAGATACAGACATAGTGAAAAGAAGGGCCATCTGTACCCCAATGTTCATAGCAGCAATGGCCACGGTCGCCAAACTGTGGAAAGAGCCAAGATGCCCTTCAACAGATGAATGGATGAAGAAGATGTGGTCCATATATACAGTGGAATATTATGCCTCCGTCAGAAAGGATGAATACCCAACTTTTGTATCAACATGGATGGGACTGGAGGAGATTATGCTGAGTGAAATAAGTCAAGCAGAGAAAGTCAATTATCATATGGTTTCACTTACTTGTGGAGCATGAGGAATAACATGGAGGACATTAGGAGAAGGAAAGGAAAAGTGAATTGGGGGAAGTTGGAGGGGGAGATGAAGCATGAGAGACTGTGGACTCTGAGAAACAAACTGAGGGTTTTGGAGGGGTATAGGGGGTTAG